AAGGTCCAACTATCATCTATTGTACTTCCAGAAAAATGACAGAAAAAGTTACAGCTGAACTTAACAAACTGAATTTATCCTGTGGAACATACCATGCAGGCATGAATGTGGTCCAAAGGAAAGAGACTCATCATAAGTTCATGAGAGATGAAATTCAGGTGTGAGGATCAATCATCCTTATTCTCTATTCCCCATAGTGGAAATAGGTGTTTCTCAAATGCTAATTTATCTGGTCTTTATTGAATACTTTCTTTGTATTGAGCATAAAACCATCCCTCTGATAAAGAGAATCAGTGTGTAATGTGGGAGATAGGTATGTGGATAAACTGTCTCAGACTAGTATAAATAGCAGTCTCTACCTAGTGCTTAGGTGCATAGAGGCAGCACTACCTCTGTCAAGGTAGGTTGTGTAGGTGGGGTGGTCCATCCAGGATGATGTAATTAGAATAGAGTCTGAATATGTGAATAGAAGAGTGCATACTGGGTTTAAGAAATCATGACTGGTTTGGACTGGCTGGAGGGAAAGAGTTGTAGTAGGAATGGCACAAAGCAATAATCTAGAGACAGGGAGGAACTAGAGACTCATAGGAAAATGTTGAATGGGTTGCTTGGCCAGGTTATAGATGGCTTTGAAACTTGCAAAGAGGCAGCCTGAGCTTAACGTATGTCATATACCTCTAGTTTTTCCAGACTACTTTAACCATAGAATTTTAAATTTAGATGAAGTTTTATCTAGTAGGTAAAACAGATTAAAGTAGAATAATTCTGGTTCAAGTTGAAGGGTGAGAAAAGAGGGTCCAAGAGCCTCCAGATCTCTAAGAAAGTCCTTTTGGGTGTCTTATAATCCTTAGAGTGCTATGGAATAGAGTTTGAAAACTATCATCATGTACTACTCTAATTTTTTGAGAAGATAACAGTATTATAGAAACATTAGACTGGCAGCACTAAGTAGGATTGATTTGAAGGAGAGAAACAGAAGGGGAGAGTATGGATGAAGTTACTGTGAACTACTACAGCTGAGATTCCTGAAATGAGGGGCTGATTCAGTGAGTGTCAGAGAATATTTGGGAGCATTTAAATTCAAGACACTTGAGTAGATTTAAATCAACAACTTTACACTATCAATATCATATCTACACTGTATTGCTATAAGCCTATGGAATAGCCCTCCTCTCAAGAGATGAACTTAACTTCAGTTCTGGCATTTTCTGTCCATCTGTTTCCTCTCTGTCCTGCCCTCTCTATCATATCTAGTTGTTACCCACCCTGAGCCAACACTGTTTAAACAACTTAAGTCTGGTTCATATGTACTGTCTATGAAGTTCACTGTGCATAGTCATGCTGTACTGCATACCTGCCCGAAAGCATCTAGTCTTTATTTCTCCTCTTTCCGAAGTTAGAAACAGCTATCACTACTGTTTAGAAATTTTATTCAAATTCTTTAATGTTTACATTTTATTCTGTTATCTCAGTGGCTTGAAAATTGTCCGATAAAATTTATTAGGTGCTACTACAGAACCTTGACAATTAATCTTCAATCTATTAACTTACCAATGGTTTCTTCTATCTTGATGTATTAGTAATGATTCATTTAGACTAAAACATCTCCCAAAGACATGAGAAAGAACAAACTTTATCCATGTTGTGTTGTCATGGGAGACTTTGTTGGGTGCATCTGGTTTTCCTGCTAATAAAAACCTTCCTGAGGCCGGGCG